CTCTTAAATTCAGATAAGCTTGCTTTCCAAAAAATAATCCTTTAATCCTTTTGATAACAATCAAGCCCTAATGGACAAGACAATTCCGAGGTTGGAATAAGAGAGAGGATTGAAAAGTCGATAAGAAATAAGAAGAATCAGATTGCCAAGGTAAGGAAAATTAACACATTATGCGCAATGTTACAGCTGCCGTGTATAGCTGACTACATCGTGGAGGAAGCAGTGAGGTTTGATGATATCAAGGAGGCAGTGGACAAGATGAATCTCCGTCTCTCTCTGTTGGCGCCTCATGCTGATCAAGAAACACTCTCCATCGTCGTCAAACACTTGAATGAGAATGCTGCTAAACCTACTGGGTTAGTTGTGACTCATTTTATTATTACAAATTAAAAGTTAGCAATATGTGCGTTGGTACATGTAATCTATAAATGAGGAAATAATATTTAATTGAAAAATAATTATTACGTATACAAGAACAAAGGAACCCTTGGGATTCCCTTTTGAAATTTTACTAATTTAATGTATTATGTATTTCTTGTGTATACCAGTAATTTTGTGTATGCAGTTTCTTGAAACGGGTGGGCTTAGTTCAGTCGGAAGTTGAAATCGAATGGTATCATACTCTAAACGTAATAAAAAAAAATTGGCATCACAAACGGTATTGTGACTAGATTTACACAGTTGGTATCGTAGCGAGGTGCTACCTTACATTCCTGTCATTGCACCTATGTACGTGCACAAATATTTGTGGAACAGTTTGTAGGGGGTGACTCACATACTCATTATATAACGAGCAGAGTTTGTTAACCATCGGTGCAAGAATGAGAAAGTTTTCTTAGAAAAATATATTTTTGTGCACGACCTACAACACCACCAACGGTGAGTTAACACCGGCGTTAATGCCAAACGTTTCACCCTTGATTTAATGTAGCTTCCATTGCAGCTAGTGACCTTAAAACATGTATGGGCTGATTCATTAGGAAAAGATTGAAACCCCAAAGGGAATAACATGAAATTGGACATGGTTATTGGTTAGGAACATTTGTTGGTTAGGAACAATGTTACTCGTTTTACTTGGAGAGCCAATTGTTTAGCCTTTCAAAGATTGCTTTTATAAGTTTGTGACGTCACAGAATAACTTATTTATTGTTGATTCACAGCAAACACAGCGAGATGTGTCGGCAGCTGTTGGTCCAGCTGTACCTCAGAGTTCCCAGTATTGTCACTCAGCTCTCGGATACAGAGCTGGCCAAATACCTCAGCAACTCTTCGATATCAGGTGAGAAGAGATAGAAATAATCACTATTATTGTCAGATCTTGTTAGTTAGCTTTGTCATGGGATTCTTTCCAAGGTCTGGATAGCTGCTTGATATCTAACCCAACTGTAAAAGTATGTGAAAAAAACCAATAAACCTCTTAACAAATGACCTTTACTCGTTTGTTTCCAGTTACACAGTTTACAATACTACAGGCTGTAGACGAAGCTATTAATAGGCATGGCCACAATGCAAATCTTTCATTAGTTTGAACGCGAATCACTTTGCTGGACCGCCATTTTACTATAAACTATCATGCTTGTACCATAAGCACCTATTATCCGGCCTTGTAGCGTAATAGGTAATTACTATTATGTTTTGGTTGGATAGTTGATTGGAAGGTTCTTTGTGAATTTCACCTAAAGTAACAGGCATTTTGGTACTTTTTTAATTCTTAAAATTTGTGTATCTGCCCTGAATACTATTCAAAAGAATTCAGTTGTTTATGTTCATGAGTTAAAGGAAAAATTAGACAAAATAGGTGTGATTAAAACCCTGAATAGGTAGAGTTCAAAGAGTTTAAGTACTAGTCTAATGTAGACAATATTTACAGTGATGGGCAGTAGTGTGTTGGACACAGTGTCTCATACGCTGTTGACAGCATTGACAGCAACTCCGCCCAACAAGGACTGGTACAGGCGATCTCAAGAGTTTGACCTGGCTACCAGGAAGATGACAGCCACTCACCCGCTGCTAGTGCTTCGGTAAGAGCTGTTGATTTGTCAGTCTTGTCAGAAAATCATAGTGAGACATTAGAAAAGCTGCGTAGGAAATAAGAAGTTTTTGTGTGTACTGAAATAATGTAAAGTATTAAAATGGAAGCTTTGAGTATTTATACACTCAGAAGCATGTAATCCATTATGATTTCTGGTGTTAGCTGTGTCATTGTAGTTGAATACTGTCAGACATTTCGTCCTTAATATGAAGAAGCATCCTCAGTAGCTATGCTGAGACTGATTGCTCACCCCCTCCACCCACTATTGTACCATGTCATAAGTATGAAAAATAAAAATTTTCAAGCGGAGGAAAATGATGTAAACATTAGTTGAAATAGGTTTTCACAGTAGATTTTTATGATATTGTAAAACTTGCCCTTCTATTTTGAGATTAGGATTTTTTAATTTCCATTCAAGATTTGAAACTCCTGGATTGGTACATCACTGATGATTAATGTAAGCTTGTAGTAACAATGATACACTGAAACTGGACGATGATCAAATATGTAATAATCAACTAATGTAAAATATGACAGGTCTAGAGAATGTAGATCTGCCAAGCCTTTCCCTCCAGCAATTTGATACAAATTACTTTAAAAGAAGGCTTTTGGCAGATCTACATTGAAATTCAAAATTTATATTTGTTTTAAGAAATGACAAGCTAAGACAAGTTAATTTAGGTGCTTTTGAATGTTTACGTATGTACTTAAAAGTTAGGCCTAGTTTTATTTGTTCAAATAATTACAATCTGGAAAAGCTGGAGTTGTCTTTGAATTTTATTTATGGCTTGCGTAACGCCCTGATATAGTTATAAGATTGACTTTGAAGCTTTGAAGCAAAGCATGAACCACATGATGATGTGTGTGTACAGACAGCTGGAGATGATAGCCGCTGCACTGAGAGGACGAGTACATCTAGAGTTCCCGGTGCTGAGGAGTCGTAACCATCTGGCACTGTTCACACAGGTGCTCGGACTGCTGGAGCTGCTGAGGCCTCATCTGTTCAGGGCTGAGTACACCACTCCTCTGCACAACATCTTCGACACTTACTTTGCTTTGTTCAAGGTCAGTCACGGCAATATTGTTGCGTTAATTGTAACAATTTCTTACTGAAGACCTTGGAAGGACAAAATATTTAAAGTGGTATGAACTTTGGTGTGCAATTTACCGCCTTGAACATTTTTTTAACCGAGCTATTCCTTTTATCTAAATTTTGGTCTAGAAATGTGTGAGCAAATGATTGAGATTAAGGAGAACGTACAGTCTTAATGGCAAAATCGGGTTGAACTAAGAATTGTGGGGATTACCTATTCCATTTCAATTTGTCTCTTTGTCCAAGTGCATTTTCCTCAAAATAAATTAATATTTGTTTAATGTTTTTTGTCCACGTATGACTTTTGATTTGTTCAATGAAACAACCATTTCTACTTGGATAATCCCTCACACGTTTTTTACTTGTTATAGTAGGGATATGTTTCAAGCAGTATTGCAGACCTCTATTTTAGCCCTATTTTCTCCAATTATAAAAGTAATGTAGACATGAAGTAGGTCTACATTGCCAAAAAAACTACTACGGTATTAAAAGTTTTTTCTACAAAATAAGTGACACAAAAAAAAATCCTCTATCCAAAGATTTCCTAAGGTTTTTTTTACTGTAAATTTGTTCAACACTCCAATGATTCTTTCATTACCCTGTTAACCAAAATTCCATTCATTACTTAACCTGCTTTACTGCCACAACCAAGCAAATTTCAAAGAAAATAATCCAAATATTGTATTTTTTACAGCAACACGGACACATGAAGGATGTCGGTGCTCTGCTGGTCAGATTTGTAAGCTTGCTGAAGGCATACATCGGACACAATGCTGAAGAATCTCTTCGTTATTTACAGACTCAAGCTGCCCTAATCAGGTATGTAGCTTTAGAACTATTGTACGTCAATATGTAAGATTCACTGATTGAATGATGATAGTTGTAGAGTCCCGCTGTTTCAAAGTAACTGGGTCCGAACACTGTTCGGATTAGCAGGAATTCAGAATAAGCTGATTTCTGTGATAATTTATCATCTCGATTGTGGGTGGTTTTCACAGTTTTGTGTCAAACGCAGATTTTTGCGATTGCAAAAATGTTTTTTCTGTGAAAATGAAAGCTTATCTCGTTTCTGGCGTGACAGAGAAACGTTCTCAATTTCATGTTATAGGTCGACCACTTAGAAATGAACCTGCACGCTTATGCTATTGCGACCTATAGCTTCGTACTAATGTTTAAAAAAATAATAATAATATCCAAACTTTAGTATGGAATAGGCAGATTTTTTTGGAATAGTGAGGCTCTCAACCCTCAAATTCATCCACAACCATTGAGCTGTGAAGACACACCTTGTTATATTTAATCCATAATAGCATTAACAAAATTGTATACTATTGAACTTTAACTTCATTGGCACAGATAACTTCTTTTCAAATCTTGAGTCAGAGCAAGATATACAACAATATGTTATACAGATATTTTTAGTTGTTGAGTGAACATAATGAACATAAGAATAGACAAGACACAAAATGTTGTTAAAAATCAAGTAAATCTTTGATAAATAAAAAAAAACTATGTGTTTAGGTCCCCTTCTTGTACATAATTTAGCACAGAAACAACATAAACCAGTTAAGTTGTGTTTTATTATCTGAGTTGTTCCTCAAATTAAAGATTTTAATATAGCTTACTGTAGTAAATGTAGCTCAAGAAAAAAAAAATTAAATGTTTCAGTGAGCTGCAGACCCAGCATCACAGTCTGGGCAGTGTGTGTATCCTGGTAGCGGGGGTGAGAGGGGCGGGGGCAGGGGAGGTGGTAGTCACTGTACCTCCTGCACCTCCTGGCCAGGACACCTTCCCTCCACAGTGGGACCATGTGATAGCATCACTCAAGGGACCTGGTGAGTGGTTAAGTGTTTGTAGTGTGTGTGTATCCTGTTAGCGGGGGTGTGAGAGGCGGGGGCAGGGGAGGTGGTAGTCACTGTACCTCCTGCACCTCCTGGCCAGGACACCTTCCCTCCACAGTGGGACCATGTGATAGCATCACTCAAGGGACCTGGTGAGTAGTTAAGTGTTTGTTGTGTGTGTGTATCCTGGTAGCGGGGGTGAGAGAGGCGGGGGCTGGGGAGGTGGTAGTCACTGCACCCCCCGCACCTCCTGGCCAGGACACCTTCCCTCCACAGTGGGAAATGGTTACAAAATAAAACACTAATATTTTGTTCTATAATCATGGAAAATTGATTCCTCTTCAATATACTCTGTGAAGAAATACCATATTAAAAATATCTGTGTTTACATTTTGGGGCTTTTTGTCTCTATTAGCTTCAAGGACTACAAGCAATCTGAATATTCCTTTTTAAATTTCCTTATCAGTCCCATGACGTTCCTTTGAAATATAATCTAGTAAAAAAGTTTTAATATTGTAAAGATTAATGCACCTAATTAACTTAACTATTTAGCTTGATTACACATGATTTTGTTGTTTCAGAGGTGTTGGCCAGTCTACAAGAGTTGGACCAGATGAGTGTGCGCCGGCCGGCGTTGCTGGCGCCCGCAGTGGCAGTGCTGGGTGAGCTGATCACTGCGCCGGGCAGCAACGTGCGTGCTCTCGCCCACGGTCTGCTGGCACGGCACCTGCGGTACGCGCCACACACGGCACTGCAGTTGATGCCAGCGTATCTCACGGCACTACAGAGCGGACAGGTGGAGGTGGTCAGCTCAGTACTGGACAGACTACATGAGGTGGTCGTCTGCTCACAAGGTGCGTAGATTAATAAACTGTCTTTTGAAAACACTCAACTCCTTAAACCCTGAAGGCCAATACATCACCCACCGAGAGTAACACCAATACTTCACTCACACACTATCTATGCAAACATAACAAACGGTTGGAAGCTGTGCTTGACATGTGCTGCATAAATCAAGTTTAGTCAAAGTCACCATGATGTATAGTAGCTTTCTGTTTTATTCTCTATATACCAAATTTAGGCAGTTTGAGGGGAAGCGATTCCATCCCCTCCACTTCACCCTAACTATGAAATAACAGCCGACAGCTGATAAGCTAATATTTACATTAAGCTAAAAAAAGTGGTGGGGGACCCAGGAAACCTTCCCCTTAAACCGACTAATTTTTTTGAACGAGCTATAGTTTATAACATAAGTGGACCCCTCATCCAAAGTACAAATTGTTTGGCACTATGTAGATCCATACTCATATTCCATTCAATTTACTGTCTTGATTGATTTCTTGGGATTGTGGTGGTGCAGGCAATTTTTTTTAGATATGAGATTCGAGTAATCAAAATTTGATTCTAAAAACAAGCTGAAAGAATCTTAAATTCTAAACTTTTTTAAGATTTGAGATTCATTTAACTCATTATAATTGCAATGAACAGTTAGTAACTAGTAGATCTTATTGTTACAGAAGTAGCAGTTCCTCTACTAGAGACAGTGTTCAGCCTAGGATTGACTCACAACATGAACACACTACAATGTATCACCAAGTCTTTGGCTCTACTTAACCTACAGACTGGCTGTTGAATATCTGTAATTTAGTATGTTTAAAAAAGGGGAAGACTGTATTCATTTAATTAGATAGAGATAACAGTTTTTATAATTTTTCTCAATTGTTTAGGTATATTCTTTAGTTTTTCCAAAGTAACGTTATTTGAAATGTATGTTGTAAATATGTAATTATTTTAGAATAAATGTATATAATTTAAAATTGTCTTGTTTTCCCAGGTGAAATTTCATCACTGTCTTGTTGTTTAATGTTTTTCATGGTTTTAATAATTTATATGATTTTTACGATAAATATCATCATTGATTCCACACCTTTGAAACGTATATGTAGCTTCTACTAAATTGACAAATATATAATGTAAAGAGGAATAGGTGTACAACTAGATCTAGACTTAGAAAATACTTCCAGATAGTTAATAGAACACAAAATGCCCTCAGTACAGTTAACTAACTAGATGTGATGCCTGTCCACAAGCCTTTTTGGAAAAAAAGTAGTAGAACTATTACTCTAACCACCTCAACTGCTAAAGACGTGTTTACATGAGACTAGTTGGAGGGCAGGTTACTTGGCTAAGTTAACTTGAAATACATAAGAAGCAAGTAACCTGCCTGCTCTACTGGCCTTGTGTAAACACGGCTTTAGTGACATGTTTATCCATTCCTTGTTTCTTAATATTCCTAATCAAAGTATTTTTCCTAAAAAAAACTTATTTTTGACTAAAAAGTTCACGTGCAAAGTACTAACAGGTTTTATATGTACATAAAGCTATCAACAAACAAATTTAATAATATTTTATATTTATTCTTATCATATTCTCTCTTGTTGAAATGATATTTAACTATCCAAACTTATTTTTGGAAAAGCACAGACTTTCATACACTGTCTTCGGTTCCAAAACTTATCAGCTGTTTTTGTTTGCTACCAGATTAAGATTTATTTGCAATCTCATTTACATTGGATGACAAACTTTGTTGCTTGTTCACTACCAGTTTGAGTTGGAATCATCACAATAACGTCTCTTTGTGACTAAACAACAGCAATTAGTCCAATGGAAGGGTTTCCTGTGTCTACTCCTACAAGTTCCTGTAATTGAGAGTCTAGTCTCAGTTGTGGCTCAAATGGCGCCGACTTTCGTCTTCTTTGGGGCTCTCCTTGTCGCTACCTGTGCCGAAGAGATTAGTAAGTTTCTCCTTATGTAAACTTACATGGGTTTGTTTAGTATAAAACATATAGTTTTTCAGTGTTTGCACATTTTTTCAGTGGAAAATGTTCAAATTAGATTAATTGCTTGGAAGTCAATGAATTTTAAATATATTTGGCAAACATTTGTCTAACACTAATTCAAGATTTTCATATATTTCTTAGATTTAATATTTACATTGTGTGATTTATGTTACAATGTAGTACTGGTATTTGTCCTTTGTAAGATTTCCCTGCGCTCTTTGAAAATTTAACCATTGTAAAATAAAATAAACTATTATCTTAGTCTTCATGGTAAGGCCATTTGTCCATAGGTGAAATAATAAAATAATTATAATAAATTCCTCGATAACTATGAAATTTGGATCAAGTCTGATCTGACTGTGTAGGGTTTTAGGGATTTTATGTTCCCCAAAAGAGCTTGTAGAATATAAATCCAATATGCTCGACATTGCAACAAATTTTTCTTTACAATTCATAACCTTATAAGGGTAAATAATTAAGTAAACTACATTAAACAAACTACATACATACATTGAACATTAAACTAAATAGGTACATAATTAGTAATTGTTAAAGATAGAGTCAATAACAGTGGCAAGCAGCAGTATGTGATACACACAATAATCCTTTCTCCACCACTGTCCCTTTAGTTTGTTATTCAGAAGGCCTAGTATCTCAACAATGAATTTCTCTTGGTTTGATATAATGTGTTGTTGGTATGTTTGCACTCATCCCTCTGTAGACAATATTCTGATTGACTCGATCTTTACTGAGATATTAAAATCACCAAACAAACACTTCTTTATCGTTAGTAAGTTGATTTTAGAAGATTGCATATAGCTAGCACAAAATTTCTAGTACATTGAGCGAAAGAATTACACTGACCACTAACTATGAATTTAAAAGTATAGTTTTTTTTTCTCTTATGAACCTGTTGAATGAAACAAGAGAGTCACTATAGATTTGGTCAGTCTGCATGTTTGCTACAACAGTAGGGTGTATTATTTGAAGATTATTTATTGTTGCTTGGTTTATCGAAGGTCATCATTCTTTGCTTTCAATTAAGTCCAAAATATACAAGGTAATTCGTCTTTGAAATACTTGACTTTCAATTTTTTCTAGACCCAACTTGATCCAAAAAGTTTTCACTGTTTAAACACATACATTTATATATTGACTAACCTTGTAATCTGCGATCGCAAATAGGAATCAAAGTGCAGCCAAGCCCTCCTGATGAAAGAGACAGCTTGATCTGGTTCAACAAAACTAGCTTTGACTCTTGGAGCAACCAACTTGACAACTTCATTGAAGGTAAGCTTACGGTAATAGCAATGAACATATGGATATTGGGCTATGTGATGTAAGCTGTAGCCACAATGAAATAAAAGTTGCCCAAAAAACACCTAACTAAACCTAGAACATTTTTATTATTATACCACTTAATTAGCGATATGTACTAATTACAACAATTGCTTAATATACAGTTAGAGTATCAAATATACAATTCTTAATATACAATTCTTAATATACAGTCCATATTTAAGGAATATTTCATATTCCTTAAATATGGATGAAATATAAACAAATTCCTGGAGAAAGAGCTTATTAAGCCCCATTCGCCTTTGAATGGGGGATTTTATCCAACAAAATTTGTGGAGGAGAGGGTATGAAAAATATGTCCCTCGCTTGAACAACATAAAAATATTTGTATTTCATTGCTATTTTTTTTGTTTACTCAATTGACTATGAGGTACAAGGACTAAAACATAGGGGTGGCTGTAATCCCTCTTCTCGATTCTCTGCTATCCCTCCCTGTATACAAATACAAACAATGCACAAATACTGTAGTAAAACAATATTATTACAAACCCTTAAAGTTAAATATTTAAATTCTCAAAAGAAAAAGATTTTGGACTCCATGTTGCTGTGTTCCTCTTCAAATAGACATTCATGCCAGAAAGGGTTATTTATGAGAAGGGCTGAAATGATGTCCCATTATATCACATTCAAGTGTTGTTCTTCTCCAAGCTTTTTTTTACACTGAGTTGAACTAGAATGTTTCCCATCCCTTCTGCCACAGTGTACCGCAACCCTGAGTTGACGGCTGGGCGCCCAGAGGCAGAAGTCAGCTGTGACTGGGGCTCCCCTCCTCCCCCAGGAAAGGTTTGCCACATCAACCCGGAGACTTTCGCTCCATGTGTCACCACCAACTACTTCGGCTACAGACGTCTCGCCCCTTGCATCTTCCTGCAGTTCTTCCCTGTGAGTTTTTATTTCCTGCTATAAACCGTTTATTTGTGATTCTATACACCATTGACAATTTCTAAGTTATTGTAAGGGAACATTATCCAAACCAATGGTCTTGTTCTTGTTTCTATATCTACTTTTTTTAAATAACATCAATATGGGACCTCATCATGTTAAAACCTTAAACAATGACCTCAGTAAATGAAAACGTCCTATATCTAGTAAATTACTATATACTAGTACATCACTACAGAGTGTTGTATGACGGGTTTCTGCCATTGCCTTAACATTAACTCTCATGCTCTTCTTCACTACACTACTAAAAAAATTACCTGTACAGTTTATAACCATACAGCGGAAACCATATCATGTGAAAGGAGCTTCAGGTCTATTATTCTTGAAACAAATTTTAAAAGTTGCATTAAGCCTTGAAGTGTGTTTTCATATCTATAAGATACACTCCACTGTGACAAAAGATAGACAAATAGAATAAATATAGACCGTCAGCAGTGCTGTGGTTAGCATATGTTCCGGCACCCACTGCTAGGAGTGCCGTGTAGTTACGGCGCACACCGCTGCAGCGTCTGCAGGTAGCATACAGCTCCTACAGTGGTGTGCGCCATAACTACATGGCACTCCTAGCGGCACATCGTGGAACCTTCCTTTGACAGTCTATATTTTATTCTATTTATCTATGGTTAAACATTTATTCATAACAACACTAAAACATAGCAAAAGAAACCTAACATACTTTTACTTTATAGGAAAAGGGATGGAGACCAAAGTTCTATGGAGATTTGAAGACACTCCCAACATCAATGCCGAGGAATTTGAAAAACTACATCATAGATAAATCTGTGGAACCTTACACTGTAAGCTTAAATGTGTAGTTCGAAATGTTTAATGCATGAATTGGCTTTATCAACATTCTAAGGAGAGTTTCCTGTTTCAAAGCTCTAATACACAGTTTTTCTTATCTTGGAGGTTTTTTACAAGAAATTAATTTAACCTGTCATTCAGCTGGATTTAGTAATAAGCACCTCTTTTACTTTCATTGTTCATCCATGTTTCAAAGACGTTTCATTTAGCTGGACTTAGCTGTAGCCAACTTTTGATAAAAATTCAAATAGAACATTATGAATGAGCCACTCACAGACTGAGAGACTGTGCTATAGTTCAAATTTAATTTTCTCTCTCAGTTTTTGATAACATTATGATAGCTGATATGACATAACAGATGCCGTAGTTTACGATAAGCTGTTCTTTCAGTTTTGCTTGGTCTAAAGGTTGGCGTATTCGTCAAAAATTACTGATTGACATCAGTGTCGAAGTAAAGGTATTATTTGTTACAGTGTATATTCGGAGCTAGATTCAAGTAGTATTCTAATACAGTAGTTACCAATTGATAATTTGTTCACATGTAGTTCTAACAAGAGATGTTTTCCGCAGTGGGAGACAGTATGGGTGTCGTGTGACGGAGAGAACCCAGCAGACAAGGAGTTGATTGGTCCAGTGAGGTACATCCCTGGCCCTGGCGTGCCTGCTTACCACTTCCCCTACACTGGGCAGAAGGGGTACCTACCTCCACTGGTGGCTGTGCAGTTTGAGATGCCACAAAGTTAGT